CCCAGTTATTTAATAAATATCTAAAAAGGGCAGTGAATTTAGTCTCATTTAATTTAACTGACCGATAGTTGACTTATCTGTCTTGTTAAGCAAATTCTAAGTGTGCACTCTTTTCTGTTGGCCATATAAAATTTGCCTCTAGGCGTTGCAATAGACATGATAGTTCCTGACACGCATGCAGTGAGAGCTTCCTAATAGTTCCATCCAACAGTCAAGTGTAAGCCTATGCTGACTGTAGCTTGCAGAGTTGCCAAGCACAACCTTTGGGACGACAGTCTGCATGTTGTATTTTCTGTTGTGAATTCAATCATCTTTACCAAGTCTAGATTTTTATGTCCACTAGAGGTCAGGGCTCCCTCACGCTGCACTTCCATCCTCGGCTGCACTATATATATGGGTTTTCAAGCCATGCATTTTGCAAAGCACTGTACAGCATGTGCTGCCACTTTTGCCTCCTATATAATCATCTGCCAAGTTATTCTGGTATCTGTGCTTGAAGAGTAATCTATTTTTCATTTTGTCGGGCTGTGATTCAGAGCTGACCAAATTAGAACTTTCCTTGTCCCTCCGGGAGAACAGACTTTAAAAAAAAAATTTCTTTTACCGGTGAACAGTACTTCTCAGAGAAGAGTTTGGTTCTGAGCATGTTGCCCTCTGACTGTAACCATCTACCAAAAAAACCCTTCGTCCAACTCTCCTACTTCTTCTTTAGAAATATTATTCCTCTTCTGCTGTAGCACTGCGGTCCATGATAATAAAAATGTTTACATTTTCAGTTACCTTTTAAAAACCTCGCTGTTGCTTTCATTGTTCTCGGTTTCATTTGTAACTTCACTGTGGTGATGTTCACAGCTGGGTTCAAACTGGAGGTTCAGGTTCCGATGGGGGCGACGCTCACACTGCTCAACTTAATGCTGCCAAGCACGTTACTGCACAGTAGCTAATAGTGTGTATGGCATGTATATGTATATATGATACATGTATTTCACTTATTCCAAGTATAGGATAATTACATGGACACTGACAGGCTTATATCTTGCTGCACGAGGTAGAAAAATGCAACAACCTTCCTTCACCTTTGAGTTGTGTCCCTTTGCCCTGCCACGTAAGCGTGAACCACTTTGGGGGCACTGACTGGCATGGCAGGGGAGCCAGCAAGGCACCTTTCCTTCTGCTGTTGCTGCTGTGGGGGCAGCAGCACCGCGTAGTCCTTGGTCCCTGCACCTGAAGCTCAGCCAAAGCCTGTCTGTCAGCGCCCTTCACTTAGCCCTCTTCCCTTGTGGATTAAGAGCGTGCCGTCAAAAGCAGCTGAGTTACTGGGTTTTGCAAGGTACCGCTTGACGGCTGAAGCATCACAGGCGCCCGTGTGCCTGCTGTTAGCCCATCCCACCTCAAAGATGGTTTTAAACTAATGCACTTGGCTTTGCAGTAAGTAGAAAAACCTTGCAGCCGTGCGACTTACCACAGTTCAAGTGCTCATCAGTACCTCACGTCACCGTAACGCGATACTGATCGGAAGCCCTGGCTTGTTCATACCTGCTTAAGAATGACAGCGGAGCCCTTCTGTTTGGAAAAATACCATTTACAGGTCACGGTAGGACTGTGCAAGCTGGGGAGCGTGTCAGAATGAGCAGAAACGCCAAAGGCTTTACCTTTTAGAAGAGAAATCGTTACCACAATCATTGTTCATTATTTCTTTTACACTGAATTACCTAGACTGCAAACCTGTCAAGACAGAAAGCAGCCTTTTGTACATGCATTACTGAGGTGGAGAATTCCACAAACACTCAGAAATTAATAATAATAATCAGTCCCCAGACAGATTAGGCTCTGTATTATACAGAGTTTCTTTCAAAAGTCCTTGCTACAAAGGCATTTTAATTCTGGTATTTTAAAAAAAAAAGAAAAGTTTAGAGGAAGGGCATGATACAAAGGAGACAAGGCTGTTTCGCATCTCTATTTATTTACTTTTCATTCCTGTTGCTCACTAAAGGAGCCAAGCAGATCAGCCCTGATTCACCACCTCTAGGGAAGCTCTTAAAACACTTCATAAATTGTTCAGCTGTACCTGCCTAATGATCAGATCCCATTTATTGACCTTGCCCATGAATTTATAAGCTGCATTCGCCCTATTATTGTTATTAAATAGCAATATTAATTATGACTGTGGTATGCCCTGAGGCGAGGACAAGACATGATCACACTGAATATAGGTTTTGATAGCTATTACTGTGCAATTAACATCTGTTGCTATTGTAGATTCTGAATATGGGCTTCTTCATTTACATTTATATATTTGAATGGAGTGTACCAAAACATGTCTGAGAAAGGCTTTATTCACTGTTCTGGTAAAACAGGGCAGCTCCAACACAGACTTCTGGTTCCAGTGCCTGGGGAAGCGGTGTGCAGCACCAGAGGCATAGATCAAAGCCTGAGGTAATTAGTGAAATGTTTATCCAGACTGTGGCATTTATTGCCGCAGGTATGGCAAAGGTGAAAAATATTAAGGAGGTTTAGATGAAAAATGTTTTTAATAAATTTGTAGAGGTTAGGTCCATCGGTGACCACTGGTCTCTTTCTGCTGACAACCCGAGGAGACAGGATGGGGGCTAGGCAGTTGCCTGGTCCGAGATCTGCATTGGATGGCTGTGTTTGTGAGCAGCAGCAAACTCGGGGACCATGGGCCTAGACCTTCAGCAAAACATTTGGGCACACCTCAACTCACAGAAAGTATATCATTCCTCCCAAATTACAAGCATTCAGTTACCGGAAGGCATCTCCTTTCCCCAGCAGTAACACAGTTTGCAAAGTGATCCTCTTTGCCTCCAGTCTTATTTTGCTCATGCTTATCTCTTGTGCATGGCTGTCTTTCTGTCCGGCACTGCTCACCATCCCCCTACAAGGCTCATGAATCCAGTTGCAGGGTGTTGGAGGAAACAGATGCCATTCTGCGCAGAGCAGCACCAGTGTTGCTATCTTTTGTATGCATGTGCCTTTTTTTTCTTTTAGCAGCACTGTGAAACTTCTTGTCCTCAGCACAGGATCTTTACTGGTATCCTCCAACCCATTCCCATTTTACGGGTTTCCACAAGAGCTCCCAGTTTCCAGCCTAACACGGCAAAGAAGTCAATATTGCTAGATTCCCTCATTGCTGTCCTCATTTCCACTCCACGCTCAATTTGCTGCTGGGTGATGCAAAGAGGGAGATGAGCTGCACTCATTTGTCCCGAGGCTCAGAGGGGGTGCGCGGGTGCGCTCGCCCTGATGTCGTGTGTGTGAGGCTTTTGTTCTCTGAGTACCAAAGTCCTCCCTGAACTCCAGCCTCTTGTGCAACAATATAACAGGACAGCACGCTGATGGGAGCAGTAAATCCTATACGTGACAGAGGAAATAATGTATTGACCTGCTGAGGGATTTACGTACCTCCAAAGACCGGCAGCGAGCTCTGCCTGTAAGGCTGACTTGTTCTACTTTCCATTTCCAGCAGACGCTATCCAGTATTTCCAGATGAATGATTCAGATAGAAATGTACGTGGATTTAAGAACTGTCCTAATCAGGTATATTCTTATATCCAGGATGTTACTAATTGTTATCCAGTGCCACACCTTTTTATAAGATTAAGATATGTTGCTGCTCCGCTTGCTTTAAACATAGAGCGCCTGTGGCTGTGCTGCTAAAAAGCATGACTATGTATTTCCCAAAGGCATGCAGTGAAATAGGAAGCTAGCTTTATAAAGTGATCCCTCTGATCTTTCATTAGTAAGCGTTTAATTTACAGTAGCATCTCACATTACAAATAGTTGGCTGGGTCTCTTTGTCTGCAAGCTCTCAGGGGTCAAAGGAGGCCCACGGAAGAATTTTGGGAGCACGGTCCCCAGAGGACGGTGGGGCTGAGGTCTCTCTCTTCCCCTTCTGCAAATGTGGCATCATGTCTCCAGGGCAACCTGAATTCTGACAGTCATGGGAGCAAGGGCACAGCATGGATTTCCATTTGATTGCTGCAACAGAAAAGAGATCTGAGACAAAAATCAATATGTGGCTAAACTATGAGAGTTCATTTTCACAGTTAATTTTATCTAAGGGATCATTTCCTCTCTTCTTGTGCAAATGTAATTCACCACTACTAACTACTCTATTTGTTTTTCTCGTGTTGCCTCTTCTACACGTAGCAAGGGCCTAAACATCTGAAATAAACAGGTTGCAACATAAAAATTTGGGGTCTGCCCTCCATAAAACTGAACTGAAAGCAATGTTTGCATTTCAAGATGTATAATTTCACTTTTTCTCATGTCATGCAATGAGTTCTGGTCATAGTTCTGGTCAGATGTTTCAGTTCAAAGTGATTTTATCAATGACAACTATAGAAAGCCCTGCCTATCTGAAATAAATGTCTTAGCATTTCTCTTTGAGGCACTGAGCTCTATCCTAAAGGAATATTCAAGGGTACATCGCTGCTAAAGGAAAACATTTCTATTCTGCTTTGCTTTTCTTTGTTTGAAAGCTGTGAGCCTGATTTTCCTGCACAAGAATGAATCACAGAGAACTCAGTTGTACAAATGAAGTTATGACAGGTAGCTCAAACCCTTTTGTTTGGTTTTAATGGGTGCCTTTAGGAAGTGCTTCATAAAATTAGGATCAAATAAAACAGGGTTATGCAGACAATTTTATTCTGACTCTCTGCTTTCTTCTTTATATCATCCCCATAAAAACCTTTTAGAACATGAAAGGTGAGCAAGAAGCTTGTTAGAGAGGCTCCTTTAGGCTTGCAGATGTTTGTTGCTCTATTTGATGCTTAGATCTTCTTCAGTTCCCTCAATTACCCTGCAGCTTTGATCCTCAAGTTCCCCCAGCACTGAAACATCCTGGCTCATGTAACTGCGTGCTAGCAATGGCAGAAACACAGATGTAGGCTCGATAGTGATGTTGACATCCTAGCATCTCTTCAGCCTATCTGGTGCTGGC